GCACCTCGCTCAACCAGTGAGCGGGAACCGGTCTGTATGTGGGATCCGAACCCTCGGCGGGAGCGCCACCGCGCTCCCAAGCGGTGCACTGTAGCAGTGCGCCACCGGGCTGGCCCTCCATGAACTTTTTGAAGACCCCTCATATGTGGTAGGCCAGTATTGCTCCATCACCACACACATGCTATGGAGAGGACAGGAACGTGTTAAGACATGGAGCTCATGATCTCATGCTTTTGTTTTCCTAACCCTCAGCCCCCTTTTCCAATATCCCAAGTAATTTGCCCAAATAAGAAAAGAGGCTCAGCATTTTCTCAATTAGTTTCTAACATTGGGGTACCAGTCAATAATCATGTGCAATAGCTAAATTATTAAGCTTCCTGTGGGCTAGGCATTATGCCAAGTTTTCTACACGTGGTCCTGTGAGATAAGCACTAAAATAATTTTCTTTCTTTTTTTTTTTAGGTGAGAAAACTGAGACTTTCAGAGATTAGGTGATTAGCCAAAGTTCAATATCTAGTAATTAGCCATGTCAAGATCTGAACCAGATCAAGATCTCATGCTTCATGCTTTTAACTATCTATACCATCTGTAGGAGAGAGCACAAGAGGTTAAACACAGCTTTGAAAAGTACTGTTTGGAAATTCACACTTTAGGGGAAAATTTCCTGATGTTTCACTTCAATATGAGAATTTTAATGGAATCCCTATAAAATTAGCTGAAGTTGTAAGACAGGGCTCCACTGACTATTATATTTCAGGGAACATATTTTAACCTATGGTAAATGGTTCTTTACTAAAGATGGTACTGCCCGAGGCGAGGAGTGGGGTGTAAGAAACATGATTACATGATTGTTTTGTTCTTGATTGTTGCCACAATGACTAAGGAGGAGGGGTGGCATTTAGGGAATGAGGCAACGAGGGTGCTAAACCTTCAAGCAGTGGGAGAGACAATCCTGCACAACGAAGAACTGTCCCATCCTAATACTGTCTGTGAGAAACAATTTGGAAATGAAGATCTTCTACATGTTGAATGAATACCCCAAAGGTATCACCAGTAGTATAATAACCGACAATCCCTTCCTGACATAAACGAACTCCGTGCACCAGGAAGCACTCTCACCTTCAGATGGTAGATGTGCTCCTCGGTGTCAAGGTCAATGCACTTTGATGACTTCTTTACAGACATCACTGAAAGCCCGACGTCAATGCAGCCATGCAGCTTCTCTCTTTCTATCTGCAGAGGCACAAAGAGAGCCACTCAAGAACCCTTGTGTTGAAAGTAGTAATAACGCCCTTGATACTCCCTACCTCTACCCTCGTCTTCCACACCCACTAACAGTGAACATGAACTCGACAACTTATCAAGTGCCTACTGTGAACCAGTACTAAGTGCTGTGCATGAAGTCTTCTTTAATCTGTGAGATAGGGAGCATTCTCCCCGTTTTAAAGATGAGACTGAGGTCCAGAGGGGTTAAGTAACGAGCAGTTTACACAGCCAGTACATGAGGAAACAAAAAAGCAAACCCCATGGATTGACTTCCATAGCCATGAATTAACCTGTTAATTGCACTGCCTCCCACTGAATTAGTTTCTGGTGTCTAAATTCATTTAGAAGTATGGGCAGGAGGCTAAGAGAGGACAGCAGAGGAAGTAAGGAGAAGACACTTACAAAGGGCAGCAGGACTGATGGTCACTCAGAGCCCTCATAGGACAACTGCCTAGTGTTAACCAGAGAGGAACTCTCTTTCACCCAGGGCCTCCTCCACCAAACCCCTCAGTCACTGTAAGAGTGGGAATGACACCTGCCCTGTGTTTTGCTCCTGTGACCTAGCTGCAAGGACATCTTCTTCCACCCAGAGAATCCCTCAGCACAACCCTAAGACCACAACAGACCTTTGGATACCAGTGTGGTGTTGCAGGAGCCTCACCCTACCCAGAACCCAGGGCTGAGACCAGGGGAAGCAGGCACCTCTGTTCCACCTGGGGAATCCATTACCCTCCACGATTTCCAGTTCAGAGATCTGTAATCCTCAAATGTACACAGTCTCATCCCTGAGCTGACAGTTACCCTTTCAGAATTCTTCAATAGCATGTTGCACCAACAAGAAGACTTACATCGGTTTGGCTCTTGGCATATTTCAAGATTCCTCTGTCCAGATAGAAGAATCTCTGTGGAGCAGAAAGTATAATTCATTGAGATGTTCCATTTAAACACCCTTCCCTTGGTCTCAAATGTCAGCTTCGAATTAAATATAAGTGGTTAAGAACCAGGTGCTGGGTGGGATAGTGTGGGTGCAAACAAAAGTACAGCCACAGTCAGTGTCTTACCTTGTGCCAGCCTTTTAAGGGCCATTTCCTCTTTTTCAGCAGAAATCCTTTCTGGACTGGTGGCTCCTGAGTATAATTCATCTCCCCCCTCAGTCCTTCCACCACCTCCCAGCTGTCCTGTTCCAACAAAAGAGTTCATGCTAAATGTCTATCTTTTTTAAAAAATAATAACAGTAAGAAGCAATTCATACTATCAGTAGATCCATCCAAGATGGTGAGCCTGGATGGGTTTGTTGAGGAGAAAAAATTCAAATTTAATTTTTATACCATCCCTGGATTTTAAGGATTTAATGCTATAATTTAGAGGCATCAAACTTGATTTTTTTAAAAGCTCTCTTTTAGAAGGGAATGTTTCTCTCTCTTTTAGTGTTTGAACTTTGACAACCATAGCTAAAGGTAAACATTTTACTTACTCTAAGTTCTATTTTTGTTCACTTGGACATCATCACTCAGCTACTGTTCATTCAGCACTAGACTTCAGTCTGAATTTTAACCAAAAGCTACAGACACCAAGACAGAAGCTGTGGGGGTGTTGGTGGGGTAGGTTTAACAATTGGCTGAAAAGTGTGAGACTGGATGCAAGTTAGTAAATATGACAACTTCAGCAAAATAATGATTTAGTTGAAAATTAATATCTTCAAATTCTAGGTATTTAAGTACTGGAAATATTGAAGCATCAAAAAGATGGTTTGCAACAAGTATTTTCATCCTTTTTTTCCAGAAATTTGAAAACTCTTCCTTCTGTCTCAAAAACTCTTTTTATTGGGCTACTGAGTGGTTTGCAGTTTTGAAGAGCTACAAATAGTTATTACAATTAATTTTCCATTATTAGCTATTTAGGTTATTTTGACTAATTTAAAAATAATTTTAAAAGAAATAAAAAAGAAAAACAATAAAAATTCTGAAAATTTATTTTTAAATGCTTAAAAATAAATCATTGCTAAATTATCCCAAGATAAACTAAAATTGGCAATACCTCAGTGACTGTGATAGTTGATTTTTATTATTATTGTTTTTACATGTTTACTGGGTTATATCCCATGTGAAATGCACAAACCTTTTCTATTTTATCAATATACAATGTAGTTGATTTTTCTGTCCCTTTACCGATGCCTCCCTCCCCCCTCCTTCTCCCCCTTCCCACTCATCAACATCATATCTATTCACTTGTCTTAACAAGTTCAAGGAATTGTGATTGTTGTTTCTTCTTCCCTACCTCCCACCCCCGTTTGTGTATTTACTTATTTTTAGCTCCCACAAATAAGTGAGGACATGTGGTATTTCTCTTTCTGTGCCTGACTTATTTCACTTAATATAATTTTTTCTAAGTCCATCCATATTGCTGCAAATGGTAGTATTTCATTCTTTTTTATAGCAGAGTAGAATTCCATTGTGTAGATGTACCAGTTTCCTTATCTACTCATCTGATGATGGACATTTGGGCTGGTTCCAACTCTTGGCTATTGTAAATAGTGCTGCCATAAACACTGTAGTGAATTGTACAATTCTTAAGAGTACAACTTGACGAATTTATACACATATATACTCATTAACTACCATTCAGATCAGATATAAAAACATTTCCAACATGGGGTAATTAAGTTTTCCAAATTTGTGCTAAGTCAAATCTCCAGCCTATAAGCAGGTGGTAAAGGCAGAAGCAGGAGGTACTGGGAGACAGACAGTTAAGTGTGGAGCAGCACCAGGGAGCAGAAGGCAGTTAGACTCAAGTCCCAGGACACAGACTGTCTAACAGGGAGGGTATGGAAACCATAGGGTGTCCTGGGTGGCTCTGGCCTGGTTTCCGTGTTGCCCTCAAGTTCAATACATGGGACCCACTTGGTAATAAGAACCCTTTCCTACTTAAGCAACTGAACTCTTTATACCTGCCTTCTACCTGATGGCACTTTGCTGTGAACTAAGTTAAAGGTATATTCCACAGTTTTGAAACATCACAGTGGTATCCCAAGATTTAGAATTGTGAAAGGGATTTCATCCATGGAAAAAAAGCAAAGCTTAGAGAAAAGATTCAGTTTTTAAATTAGAGGACTTTTTTCAAAAAGTCAGTAGCACTGAATGAGATTTCTTTATAGCAATTATTATCAGTTATTCAAATCACTTAATTAAACCCAGACAATAAAGGAGCATGCATATTATTTAGTGATGGGAAGCCACGAAGCTCATTAATAACACAAAAAATCCTGCTCACATTTATTTTAGCTCAGAAGGCCACTCCTCAAAATTTAAAGCATTTTACCTGTCTAAATGTTAATGAATCTTTAAGGTCCTCAAGTTAAAAATTCTGCCTTTTCCAGAGAAAGTACTATTTCATCCTTAGAGACTCCATCAGTGTTCCAACTCACCTCTCAAATGGTTCACCACTTACTTGTGATAATATATATGATGTTTTATCATCCCTACTACAAGGACAAGTTTCCTTGACAGTATAAAGGGTCTATTTTACTTACAATGCCTAATCTGCTGTCCTGTGAACAGTATGCATCTGATTGGCAAATGAATAAACTTCGCTCTGAAATAAGGCTGCAGACTGATTTGTGCTCTTGGAATACCATAAATTGGCATGCATTTGAAAAGCGCCCAGTATCTTTGGGCCAAATGACTATTTACAAAAATAATTAGATACCATACATCCATATTTGTGAAAGCGGAGTTTGTGTGTTGTTGTCATTGTTAAATGAAAATCAAAGGCTCTAAATCCTCTAGAAATTACTCTAAGTGTATTAAGGCCTTTTGATTTCTTTACTCTAAGACCCTCAGGCAGAAGGCAACCTGCAGAGTGCTAAGGCTAAACTATGCACATCTTCTCAATATGTTCAGTTGTGAACAATGCAAACACCAAAGATTAGACATTGTTATTGCATATGTTACAAACATGGGGGAGCAAAAAGGATGAGATCATACCTGTTGCTTAAAAAAAAGGGGGAAAAGGATGAGATCATACCTGTTGCTTAAAAAAAACAAGAATTAAATTTCAAAACAGTTTCAAGGATTCATGTTAGAACTAGATTGCTCCTGAACTCTTGGGACATACATAGTACATTTCCACCAATGAGCCAACATGGAGGGAAGGGAATTAAGAGTGGGTTTGTTGGCCCATAATGTAAATAAGACAAAAGGTTTCAACTTTTTTCCTACAAAATACCATCTATTTTCCTCATTTTATCTTCTACCTGGGCTTAGAACTAGAAACTGTTACCAGGTTGCAAAAGCCAGATTTGAAGTATTTAAGAAAGTGAAGGCTCTCCTTGACTGAAGAAGAAAGCACTGCAGCCAACTCTTTCTGGGCTCAACACCCAAATCCTCCCCCTCCCAACTTCCCTGTCTGTCACGTCCTTGAGTCACACAGCTGAAATCTGAGAACCAACATCCAACCAGTGGTTCTCAGTGGGGCGGGGCTGTTCCCTCTGAGGCACTGTGGAATCCTGGGGTACTTTGGGTTGTCACAATGATAGGGGATGTCTCCGGCACCTAATGGCTAGGAGCTAGGAATGCGAGATGCCCTGCGATGCCTCAGTCTTGCACAATGAAAAAGTTGTCCCACATCCAGAAGACTTTCCTAAGTGCTATCAGACATTTTTGTAGGTGAAAATCTGCTTAAAATTACTCAAGCAGAGAACTGAACTGTTTCACACATATGGCAAAACAATTTTTGCATAGTTTTTATATACTCTGAATTCTCAGGAATGCAAGTAGTGAATAACCATGTTAAGACTGTACTTTGTTCTTTTTGGAACATTACCAAGTGTTGCTCACCATTATAGAAATTCACATCACTGTAGGTCATGACAGTGAGTTATTAACAACACACCTGCATCATCTGCATTCGTAGCTGTTGTGTTCTCTGTTTAGGGATATCTGACCACTTCATTATGGTACAGGCATGCTTGGACTTTTACATATTGAAATATATATGTGGGGCCGGCCCGGTGGTGCACTGCTATAGTGCACCGCTTGGGAAGCGCGGCGGCGCTCCCGCCAAGGGTTCGGATCCCACATACAGACCGGTTCCCGCTCACTGGCTGAGCGAGGCGCGGGAGCAACACCGAGGGTTGCGATCCCGTTGCTGGTCCCGGTCCAGTACGGGGGCGACACTGAGGGTTGCGATCCGTTGCCGGACAAGGAAAAAAAAAAAAAAAAAAGAAATATATATCTGGATATGTGGTATATATGTGAAATATATACCACATTCTTTGAACTTCACTTTAGGAAAAAAAAAAAATATATATATATATATCTGGATATGTGGTATATATGTGAAATATATACCACATTCTTTGAACTTCACTTTACGGTACGGTAAAGCATGTTGTTGATATTTTCAAAATTATGTGTGCAAATACATTTAATTAATGGTGAATTTCATTTGAGGAGAGTAAAGTGGGGACACTGGTTAAAGGAATGATGGGGTTGAGAATTGCTGATGAACCTGGCACAAGTTCTGTGTATTATGCTGGGAAAGAACAGCAGGTCAGGACACAGTGTATGTAAAATTGCTCTGAAAATTGTAAAGGCTCTAATATTTTCTTATAAGTCCCGTTGGTTCCATCTTCAGAACGTATGTTTTCTATGTCCCTTCGTCCATTCCCCAGCCACCACCCTAACCCAGGCTCCCATCAATCTATCCCCCACTTCTACTCAAGTCAACAACCTTTTATGGGACCCCATTATAATGTTGTTTTTCATGCAACATAAAAACGAATATGACATGTTTGTCCTTATTTCCACTTTTGTGATTTGCTTATATTGTTCCAGCCTCTCAGAATCTTCTCTTGATCTTTTCTACCCATGTAAACTGTTTGAGATTTTAGTTCAGTTTCTACCTCCTTCCATGAAATTCCTAAACTATCCAAATCCCTTCGGTCATATATTCCTATAAATTACAAGAGTATTACTGTTCATACTAATTAATTTAGCATTTAATTAATGTGTGATTTTTCTTTTCTTTTTTTTTTTTTTTTTTTTCATTTTTGTCTCCAGTGCTTTGGTCTTTTCTTCCCAAACCGACATAGGGACCATCTTTTTAACTTGCTTAGAACCCCAGCAAAGTACTAAGTATATAGTAGGAGCTAAGAGAATTCTCCTGGTTTATTAGTTGT